ATCAATCATAAAAACAAAGACAGGACATTGAATTATACAGTATTAACCTCCAGGGTTTGCATACAAAGACCTTAGATTTATTTATGTCCCAGCGAGTTAAGGGCTTCAGTACACCTTTCTTTACACCAAACTGACTGCCAATTTGATGAACCTCTCTGCCCTCAGCAGGAGTGCACTGTCTTTGATTAATGAGTGCATGTTTGTGGAAAAGTGTTAAGAGGCGAAAACAGGAAAAACACACAATAATGTCTACACATAGTTGAAGTACCAATGCAATAATTATTGTCGAACCAAAAACTACTTTCTTATATACCACACAAACATGTACACAACACAAAATTAGTAAAGGTTCATATCTATATATTACCTTCACTATTATTATCCACAATACTCAATAATTTTTTTATTTAAATAAAAGGCATTCAAAAACCAAGGTGCAAGTCAAATTTCATAAATTATTTTAACTATGTTTAAAAGCATTAATTTTACTTTTAAAAACAAATTGAAACACGCTTGTCTTATGTAGTAAAAATTTAAGTATATGGGGTGAAAATCATATTTTCACCTCATATTCTTATAAAAGTCTATTCATGTTGAAAACTAGATGTTTAACTTGTAAATATCGGATTAAATATTTTACATTTCAAACTTTATAGTGACTTGCCACAAATCAAATAGCACTCAAAATACAACTGAAAGTGATGTAGTCATTTAATTTTCCAGCTTTCAGCAAAGATGTTGTGATATTTTATAACTCCATATGCAGTTGTAAATGATTTATTACCTATAATATCAAAGTTAATATGGTCAACAGAAAAACTTATGAATCAAACTTAAAACTTTTAAAATGACTCTTCCTTTCAGAATTACATTCCTTTAAGAAACCCAATACCTGAAAATTCCTACTTAAATTATGGAATGCTTATCTGCACTACAATTGAGGTTATATCTAAAAATGAACTCAGTATTTTTAGATTCTTTTTTTAAAGTTTAATTTAATATACAACTCAATGTTATATAGTAAATTGATTTATATTAATATCTATCTGCCTTGACATAAATATGAGTAAATATGTTTCTTAAATATTGAGTTATAGTATACAGTAACAGACTGATTTCCTTTTTAAGGAGTTGTATGGCAATTTTATTAAAAGGTTGAGAAAGCACATTAGTCGAATATAAATCTTGGCTTTAGTCACAGTAATGCTTGACCTGTTTTTAAAATAAGTGTCTCTATAAACTTATGATTTTAGGAAGACATAATTCTGAAATCACTCAAAGGTGACAACTCATAAGTGTTAAAAATTTGTTTATATTGTACAGGAAGTCTTGAACAAATTATGTAGTCTAATAATCAATTTCATATTTTAAGTATTTTTTTAATGGCAAACTATTTTACATATGTTACAAATTTTAGGCTCTTTGAATAATCTTTTAAATGCCTAATATACCCAAAGAGCTAAGGATTAAAATCCAATAAATATTGGAACGAGAAAAAGTCTCTTAATATAGTAATAATAAACTAAATTATATCCTTAAATCTTACCATCCTAAAGTTTTTATATATGAAATTTTCTTAAATGTGTTTTTTTGTCAGGATAATTAGTCTTTATTCTTCCTCTTTTCTTTTTCCCATTTCACCCTCCCACCAAAAAAAAAAAAACCAAACAGGCAAATAACTAGAAAAAGTAGAAAACAGTGAGGCACCAATGGAACAACGAAACCATTTTAGTACCACGGTATGACAGCTGAAACTAATAAAAATTATGACAGTAAAAAATATAATTTCAAATTTTAAAATCACTAAATTGCTACTAGTGAAATATTTTAGATCACAGTTTGTAAATTTTTAAACAACACTTTGGTCTCATTAAAAAAAAAAAATTTAAACATAATACTGTTGCAAATTTCCCTAAGTAATTATTTCTTTTCTCTTCTGATCATATCCAATAACAAACGTTTAAAGAAACATTTAACCAAATGGGTAAACATTTATTAAATAAAACACAATATTTTTAAAACTTCATGTCACAAAATATTGAATTTTATGTAATCAAAATCTCTTAAAATACCTAACTAGGTCATTTAATTAATCCCTCAGGAAATCAAGTACATTAAAAATTACTAAAACTTGATAATTTCAGTTAGCGTCAAAATCCCCATATTACTTTATGCTAAATCATATTTCTTACTTTGGTTGTTATAACTAGGACTAGTTCAAAAACTCAGAAAATACAACTTAAAATTCTTTTGATGGAGAAACCACTAAACTAAAAGTAAGCAAGTTCCATCATATACCTTCACTAATTCAAGGAGATAAGACAAAAATCTTGAACTTTCATGCAACTGTGCTATCCTACATCTTGTATAGTAACACAAAAGTAGCAACAAAGACATTAACAATTGCAGTTCAAGCTGGGAGTGACTGTTCTGTTTCAATTCAATGACACCACTAATGGCTTCTTAGCAGCTCCATGAAATCAACCAGCTGTCAAGTTGATGCATCAGAAGGAACAGTTATGCACTCCCATAAGAAAAAGCAACACATCAGGATGTTTGGCAAAACATCTGCTCCTTTACACTGCAGTTCTATAATAAACATGCAAACAAAGAAATGGGAGAAAGGGCAACAGAATTAAAATTCCAAGGTTCCGTTATAGTCTTATATGCATTTTAAATGAATGGGTTATAAAAAAAATAAAAACAAATTCCCACTAAGTTGAATACTTTAGGTTATCCTAAATTTTTTAAAATGTTAAATATAATTAAACACTCAGATTCTTCTAGAAAAGCAAAAACTACATAAAAATCTGTACATTTAAAAAATTCAGAGTAAACTATTCCCGTAAAATCAGTATCAGTTATATATAAAATTCAAAAATTAAAACTAAAATATATCCTTTTTATCAATAAGTGTTTAGTAAATGATGCCAACAGTATTCCAACAAATACATTTCCAAGACTGAACAATCTAAAAATAGTTTTTCATTAGTGTTTGAAAGAGTACATGTTGCTATATAGTCCAGTACTAATTTAACATATGAGAACAGTGAGGATATTCTTATCTGGATTTTAAGATCCGTACCTACTCCTATTTCTCTCCAAACCATTATAAGAACGCAACAATATTAACTTCTCATAAATAACTTCCTGTTGTTAAATCTAATTTCCTAAAAAAATAGACTCTTATTTGTCATCATAGGCTAAAAATGATTTTACATTCAAACACTCATTTTAAATGTTTGTAAAAACTTACTTTTTTCTATCTGAAACACACAAGTGCCTTAATGTTGCTCAAATTATTGATTATGCAGCACAGTGACAATAATATGTACAGTGTTTACAATAGGTGTGAGACATCAAATGTACTTAACTACCATTTTCTTAAACTACTTATCCTCTGTTGCTTGCCATTTATAATCTGCCAAATCTTTTAGTCCTTTGTTGCATGTATAATTTAGAACCATCTGTTCTATGTGCTTTTAACTATTTAAACATTTTTCACCTACCTACAATTCACATAAATGGCAGACATTCAATTCAGTCAAGCTTTTTACATAGCATTTTACATAAAGCAAATTCCTGGATAAATAGATAACACCAAAAGAGACTGTTACAGAAATAAAAACATACCACAGATAACGTAAGTTTTTATGTGTTAGACAAATCTTTTCAATGTATTCAGAATTGTTTCTATTAGCTTTTTTTAAGTTAATTGTTGTCAATGTTTTTCCCCAACCCAGAAGACAAAGAGAATGCAAATTAAATACAGACAGTTTCATGTCCTTGTTAGAAGAGATGTAAATATGCTGACTGAAAATGACTACAGGAGACAGAATTCGACTTTGCCATTCAATTTACACTGCCTCTTATTTATATACTAGTCAGTGTATCATTAAGTTTGGTCATGTGACCAGACCAACTTTGGTGAGATGAAAAACTATTTTAGACAAGCAAATTAAAGCAATGCTAGTTTATATTGTTTATCTTTTTATAATAGCTGACAGAGTTTATAGCTAGAGATTATAAAATATCTTTTTAAATTAATTCTGCCTTTTAAATACTCTACATTTTTGCCAACTGTTCAACCTATTATCTACTATTAAAATTTTTAAGTATGCAGTATTTAGAGACGTTTTCAATAGCTGTATCTTTTCAAAATATAAAGAAATAAACAAAGAAAAAAAGAATATTTAATTACAAAGCGAGAGCCAGGTAATCTAAAATAAGTATATGTAAATATTAACCAAGCTAATTTTTTTAAATCCATACAGGAGAGTGGAGCAAATAAAAGAAATACGCTGATTACAAATAACATTTGAAACCTTTAAATATAAAACATGTACACAAAAATTAGCTAAATACCAAACGACACAAAAAGTTTACACCATTTTTTGGCACATAATCTTCCACCTGTTACCAAAACATATATTGTGCAGACTTTGCCAAATCATCTTCAGACCAAAACACAAAAAATAAGCCACACAACTTATCGTTAACCTCTAAGTTACAGGATCCTTTAAAACAGGGGAAAAACAGGCGAAAAATGTACTCGAGAAAATTTCTCGATAAAGTTTACATGACGTCACTGGGCCCCCTGAACATTCCCTAAACTTTAAGCCTTATCCAGACACACTTTTTGGCTTTCTAAGGCTTCTTTCCTTTCCTCAAAAATAAAAACAGAGAGACTTGGGAATAAAATTGCCCAAGATGGCGAAACGCTTGTTGTTTAGAGGGCAGGAAAAAAAAATGGAGGATATTGTAATATACACAAAGGGATAAATTTCAACAACTCGGCCAAGGACTGCAGCTGCTTCCCTCTTTATAAGGAAGCAACACACAAAAGATAAATACAGAGGGAGAAAGAAAAGAAGAGAAAATCTCCCAAACAGCAGGGCCAGCTCTGACTCTTCAAACACTTCCTTCCCTTCCCAAATCTCAATTCTGGGGTTCAAGGAACTACTTTAAGAGGAGGGGAGCCGCGAAAGGGAAAGGGGGGAGGAGGAACGATAAAAAGATTAAAAGAGGGAAGCGGAAGAGTTGGGAGCTGGCGGCCGAGCCCCGGGAAAAGCTGCCAAGAGATGAGACCAATTCACAGACCTTACTGTATGAGAAGCAATGCTCCTCAAACCTTCTGCGTTCTGACATAGACCTTCCCAGGTATCCAGATCTTTTCCCAGTCCCACCTGCCCCACCCCCACCTCCGCTCATTTTCAGGAAACTCTAAGAGCCTCGAGCTACACACGGAGAGAGCAAAGGAGGCCCGAAAAGGGGAGTCGGGGTGGCAGACGCAGCTAATCAGTCCAAGAGGGAAGAGGGGGCGGAGGCAAAAAGGGCAGCAGTAGGCGGACGGGGGTGGGGGGGCAATCTTGAAACTACCCCGGCCCGGAGTGGGGGAGCAGCGGGTATTCCGGGGTAGGAACGGCGATCGCAACGCTGACAGAGGCTGTTTTTAAGACGCAAAACTGTTGGCGGCGACCAGAGCGCTAGAAGCCGAAGGGGAGGAGGAGCGGCCGGCACAAAGGAGGCGGACTCGCGGCGGCGTCGGCCCGGCCGGGGAGCACGGCCCGTGGCCCTACTGCACCGAAGTCCCGCACTGGCGGCTGGGAATAAAGTTTGCGTTCTCCTGAGGCCGCACCCCCCACCTCCCACCCAGGACCGCACATCTCCGCGCCCTCCTCCCCCAAACTCCACTCGGGACCCCAAGAGCCACCCCAGCCTTCCAGCCAGCACAACAAAGAGACGCACCGACCAGCGAGGGTAAACAGCGGCGGCAGGGCGAGAGGGCGGGCAGGGCGAGCGCCTCCAGATTAGCAACTCCGGAGTCCCCCGCTCGCAGGAGCGTAGTTCCTCCTTTTCTGTTTCAACCGGCTTTATAACATTTGGGATTTTCATCTTCACCCGCACCCCTCACACCCGAGGATTTGAAACTCACCTTTACTTTCGAACTGAGAGTTGCGGTGGATGGGATTTTTGCCTTCCCCAGATGGTTGAAGGTTAAGATTTTTGGAAACCCCGCCACCTCCTTATTTCTATTATTATTTCTGCAAGAAAAGTATAAAGAGAGTTGGATTGGAGGTGAGATGTGTGATCGGGAAAGCCCTTGACTCCCTCCTTCTCCGTCTTCCGCCTCCTCTCTCTCTGATTAGTTCCTATCCAGCAGCAGATTGAAGCAGGAGATGATTCTTCTCAAGGTTTGTTCAGCAGCTTCACTTCTAGGCGAAGGCTTCATGAACCAAGTGACGTCAACCAACAAGGCTTCTCTCTCTCTCCTCTCTCTAACAATGAAAGTTGCTGTTAACAAGGGAAAAAAGAGAGAGAATTGTTTATACCATTTCGGTTCCAATAATAAATGACCTATCAGCTCCTAAAGGAGCCAAGAGAGGGGTTTGCTTCTTCCTTCCAAGAATACTGTAGCTTTGAGTTTGCACCGTTCCTTGTCCCAGGAAAGTTAAGAAACTTAAAATGTTGTTTTGCTCTGCTTTTACAGAAGATATGACAGAAAACAGGATTGCAAATTTAATTTTTTAAAAAGGAAAACTGGAGAATAGGGAGCTCTGGGTAATCATCTCCACCTAAACTTTTTTGTTCCTAAATTCAGAATTCTGTTGAAATCTACAAACCAACAAAATTAATATCCCGAGAACTTGTGGATGTTAGGACTCAGAGTTAAATAAAAAGCAGGATGCAGGATGGTCCCAGTATAAAATTCTACTGTCCTTCCTTGGGCAAGTTAAACTGGCTGTAATGTTTATGCACTGAGTTAAAATAAAATTTAAATAAAAGACGTTAAAACTGTAAATCGCCTTAAAGTTATATGTACAAACTGTAAAAGGTAATCTCGGTTGTTTTGTTTTGTTTTTGGTTTTGGGTTTTTTCACCCAGTTTCTCACAGGTTAGGAAAAAAAGGATAGCTAATTGTAGGAACACTTTTTAAGAAAATCAAGTTATAAGTAAGACTGGAAGCCCACTGCTCCATCTTTAAAACGATACATACGGTTATATACTATTTGTCTAGCCCCATAATCTCTTCCAACTTTCTATGTTTTTACTCTTCCACTCCCCCAACACGAATTCCCAAATCCTGCAACCAATCAAGATAAACTAAAGAACATCCCATTCCCTCCCACACTCCATCCTATAGCTTCCTAAAAACTATTTTTAAAAAAGCCTTAACCTTGATAACAATTTATTATCCATTAAGAAATGTAATTTTTTAAAAAAAGTTCGCTGAGGCAGTTTTTATGTTCCTCCAGAACACAATAACGTCTCGAAGTTCATATTATTTTTTTAAATTGTATGATTTAATTTTCAGGATGAAGAGTAAGTAAAAATTAAGCTATAGGAAAATAATTTGATCATATATGTGTATTTTATACATACATATGTGGATAGATGTATCTTAAAAGATGCTATTGTTTTATGTTTCCTCTTCAGCTACTGGCTGTGATTTTAATTGTGCTGGAGGATCTTCATTAGTATTAACACATGGGGAGATTTCACAAAGCTGCTTCATTAGGAAAAAAAAAAGCTTGGCAGACTAGGTCTTTTTGCATGCACTGAGAATGTCAGCCTTACCTCGGTCATTTGTAACATAATAAGTGCAAGTACAATGATTGCGATGCAGGAGCACTGGGGGAAGGGCAGAAATACTGCCTGTCTAATAAGGATATCTGAAAAGAAGGCTGCTCATTACATAGTAAAATGTATGCTAAAAATTAGTGAAGATGATGTCTCAGGAGACTGATGCTAAATAAATTAATGTGCTGATATGTTTTTAATTATTATTTTTGTAGTAGTTTATTTCATTCTCAGGATTCACATTGAGCAGCAAAGCTGTGCTAGCACTTATTGATTTTTTTCCCTGCCACATTCCCGGAATACAGATTTTAATCATTTCACTACACCACACTTAGTAATTTCATTAAAAACTGGAATCTTCCATCCCCAGAAAAGCATTTAATTTCAATGACATACAATTTCTCTTTTAGCAGCAAACTGTCTCTACAGTAAAAACTGGCCTAAGGTTCAAATGCATAATTTAATCCTGAGTTTTCCATGCTCTGCATTCCTTTCAAGCTATAATTTGAGTAACTACCTAATAACTGTAATAAGGACAATAATTTCCCTATAATATATTATTAACTCATATTTAATTAACTCGAAGGCCAAGCTCTGTATATGTATGACTGGGTCAACAGTTCTACAATCTCAAAATTTACTAATAATGTTCCAGAAGAAAAATATAGATTAAAATATAAGTATAAATGCTAGTGTTTAGATTCCCATCCCAAATCACACACAAAAAAGTTCATGCATTATTCTGTAATGGTGGTTATAACTCAAATAAATGCTATCTTAAAAACTTTGCAACTAAACAATGAAATTCATGGGTTTTTTATACATGAAATATTGAATATTAATATTTTAACAATCCATTACTGATACTTTCCCTGATCGTTAGCATTACTGTTAAAAATACTAAATTTTGAAAGAATACCAAATAAGGTGAAATTCAAGTTGTCCTGATTTTCATAAAGAATTCTCTTGAAATAAAATTAAGTGGCAAGCTGTAACTTGAATAGTTAAGAATATATATTTTACTTAGATACTTCAAGCAATATATTACAAAGCATGGTTCCATTTTTAGTTCCAATAATGTTTTAAAATAATATTGGGTTTGCAGGTGGCACATTGGTTTCCTAAACAATGGATTTCATAAGGATATGTAATTTATACTGACCGGTTTTTAGAAAAGAAACCTTTGAGAAAAAAATTAAATGAAATAAAATTCATTAATTTAGATTGTGGAAATATGTCTAGACAACAGAAAAAATGGTCCATACATAATGAAAGTGATCAACTATTATATAAAAACTCATGATAAAACTATTATATAAAAATGGAGTGATTTTGGAACAATAAATTATTGTTCGAAATTCAAAAATTTTTATGATTATATGTACATGTATAATTTCAAACTAAAGCCACATACAACACAAAGTGATCTTTTACTTTGTTGTATAACAAAATAAGTAACTTATAACAAAATAAGACATAATCAAAAGAAAGGAATAAAGGATAAAAGTGGTGATATTGAAAAACTTCATTTTAACATATTTTTAAAACATTTTAAAACTATATTTTTATTATCAAGCGTTCTTTTTATAGTTTGGGAAATAATTTTGTGACATTCTCAAAGATGAAATGGAATTAGATGGAAATCAACAATTAACAATAGTTGGTAAATGAAAAACTCATATAGAAATCTCAAATTCATAAAATGAATTTCTGTATTTCAGCAATAATAACTCAATAATAAAAGTTTTAATCTTATATTAAAATATATCTTTAAAATAATTTGATGTTATTTGTTAATTCAAATTATTATTCAATTTAATCTATACTTTTAAATTTTTTTAATGATGTCCTAGAAATTTTAAACTGGAGTACTCTAATATTTGATAACTTCTTACTATGAAATTGTACTTAAATAGTTTTTAAAAATACGATTCCTTCCCTTTTTCACATTATCACAGTTGATCATTTCAGAGATTACAACATAATCATAGAGTTGAGGGCAAAAAAGAGAAAATAATTACTATAGTTACACAATAATTTAACTCCCAATAGCACTTAATCTTCTACAGACCAAGATCATCATCTAAATTAGTACTTCATCATGTACATAATTGTGAAAGAATTCAATGATCAAGCAGATCTTCTCCAATTTTAGTGATAATTAACTCTGAATTTCTCTCTATATATATTTACCTATCCTACAGACTAATGATGCCACCACTATGGACTAAATTGTTACACTTTCTTCTGCAAATAGCATCTATTTTTAGGATCAAAACAGAATTTCTTAAATAGGTAGATATAGAGATAGAGAAAGATGTCTAATTTACTACTATGGGTATTGTACATGGTTCCTCAAAGAATAAGGAATCAGCATGCACAAAGAAGGAAGTCTAGGAAGGCTGACTACAAAGAAAAACAAATGAGAGATCTCAATAGTATAACAAGCTGCCCACTGTGGTATCTTGATTCTGCTTCAATCACTACAAACTAATGAAGCTTTATCTGTTTTCGGTCATTGAACAAACATTTGAGTGCTTGCTATATGCTATGCACTGTGCTACAGGCTGAAAAAACATGAAAAGCTAACATTCTGGTTGATGTTGAAAGTGTGAAATTCCTGGGAGATTAGAGACTCATAAATCACATTATAAAGATAAAAATAATAAAGTTTTGTGAGACTGAAGAGAATGTGGCAACTAATTCTGACTGGAAGACTGAAAAAGGGTTTATCAAAGAGATCCACTAGAATACACAAATACTGAGAACTTACCAGGCAAAGAAGTTTGGTGGGGATGGAATTCTAAGTGAAAGAAGTCATAAGTGTAAATATGCAGAGCTACTAGGTCTATCCACTAGTGAGAAATTCAGTGTGAAGAATGACAGGGATCAAGGGATGGCAGGGATGGCAGGACATGGACGAAAGCCATAAAAGGAGGCTGGGACCTGAGAGTGAAAAGCCTAATGTACCACGGTAAGGTAAGGTAGTTGAATTTAACCTGAGAGCCAACAAAGATTAGAAAAGGAGTGACAAAATCAAACTTGTTTGAAGAGAACAATAGGCAAATGACAGAAGTATGAAGAGATTGCTTCATAGTTCATGAGGAAGATAGTAAGAGAGAGTGGCACTGGAAATTTAGAGCTGGATATCTTTGAGGAAAATTTCAATTTGGTGACTAACTAAAAACAAAGAATTAAGGGAGAAGAAGGAATGAAAGAGGACTAGCAAAATTTCTAGCTTAGTGAATGGGGTAGATGCTAGAGTCATTAACTATGTTCCATAATACATTTTTTTTTTTTTTTTTGAGTTGG